GTAGCACCGTTGAGAAACCTAAAAAATTTATCCTTCGGAGGCGAAATAATACGGTGGCACGTGCCACCGGTTGCTCCCATACAGGTCCGTCCTTGTCGTAATGCTACATCCGCAATAATTGCGGATGTACCACATGTCAGCAGCAGGTGGTTACTCGAAAACCCTAATATTTTGAATTGAATTTGTAAGTTTTCTCTCTCGTTTAAAAACAATTGACCCCATTGAATCCGTAAGGTTTTCTCTCTCACATCTCTTAAAGCTTAAAGCCACGGTTTCTAGTATAATAAATTTTGGGGGACCACCAAACATCCAAGCATTCGATTTTTGAGAGCACGCCCTTTGCTTCCGCGAGTCGATTCACGCATGAGTTTTCCCCAAGTCAATTCGCTTCACGCTTCTGCAATGGCTGAGTTTAGTTCGTTTCTTCATATGCATCTAAGTTTGAAACCCCCAGGGTAGAACGGAACTGTAACTGGAACACCATAATCGCGTCACGTTATTTGCATTTTTTATGATGTCAAAATTAGGTCAATTCATGCATTTAGAATGTAAAATATGAGATTTAATGTTTATTTGTGTAAAGAGGAAACCATTAAGTAGAAGTACATTTAGCAATATATAGGGGTGCAATTAGCCTAACCCTAAAGTAAGAGTAAGTTATATGTGGTTGCCACCAACTATCAACTCTTGTCCCTCGTGGTTTGAAAAAAACTGCGATTTTCTTCTATATGGTTTTTATTCCTATGATTTGTAATTTATTGTTATTTTCATTCTTATGGTTTACAATTAAAGGCATCTCCAACCCAACACTAAAAACACAAAAATAAAGATATTCTCATACCCAACTCAACAATAAAACACCAAAAAGATAGAGGTCAATAAAATAGGCTTCAATGTTTAAGAGTTCATAAAATGTGTCAACTATTTTTTATATTAACTAGAAGTGTACTCGCGCAATGCAGCGAGATACATCGTGATTTTAATATTTTATTTTATTCTTTATCTCAGTCGATGTTATAATATGAC